AACCAATATACTGAATTAACTGCTACGAACCCAAAAAGAAAAGAGCAAACTGGCTGCCAAACTAAACAAAAAAAAGAAACTAAGAAAACAAATCTAACTAAGAGAACTACGAACCCAAAAAGAAAAGAGCAAACTGGCTGCCAAACTAAACAAAAAAAAGAAACTAAGAAAACAAATCTAACTAAGACTTCACTGCCACAAATTTCTGCCATTCTCTCTAGGCTCCTCTTGCTATTACCTCCCCTGGCATCCATACTTTCTCAAATAACCACAAATTTCAAGATCGCCAATGCCACCATAATATATATGTAGATAGTTGTATCCTGTCTTCAGCCACCGCAGATATATCAACTGAGCACACATGATTCCACCACAGCTCTGCCCAAGACACTGGTGCTAACTTTCGGCTCTTCTACAATTGATAAGTAAATGTTTCCGTGTCTCCACTGCTTCCCACACATTGTGCATATGTAATCTACCTCCATACCTCTCTGATTCACATTCTGACCAACTGGCAAGGCATTATTGTAACACTTCCGTAAGAAGTGTTTCAACTTACCTTTCACTTTAAGCTTCCAAGTCCTGCATCTGATTTGAAGAACAAATTGTGCTTCTCTACTACTTTCAGCTGCATCAGTTTTGAAAATTTTCATTAATTGGTTATAAGAGTTTGCCACTAAGAACTGCCCTTTTGCATCAAGAGACCATTTCTAGATATCAGGGTTGTGATCATCTTATAGGGTAGATAAATGAAACATTTAGTTGTGATATTTTTTAAGGAACCTAATTGTTGTTTGAAACCATAGTCTTATAATCTGTCATTCTTATATATTTGTCTTATGTGTTTTTCTAGCTATTTCCTTTTTCTTGATTTATTATCTTTTGATTATATTTTCTTAGTGTAGTTAATCAATCCAATATTCGTCGTCTAAATAAAGTTGACATTATCATAATCTAATACATGATATATTAATTATTTGGTCTCTTGGGTTACGAACTTGCTTGCCACATACTACAAGTGAAGTCGTATACTTACGGTCGAGCTTTAAAAATATAGGGCCGGAAACAAAATCAGGTCAAGTTAATTTCTAACTAGTACCCTCGTCATTGATGATGACTCCACACGTTTCAACGCCGCACAGAGTTCTTAGTTTATTCAGTTTCCTCAATAAGTTGGCCTTTCTCTTCCTAAACATCTCACCATGCGTGTGCTCATCCGCAACGAACTCGTATCTAACCTTCGAGCGAACCGTGATGCAGTTCTTCAAAGCTACAAGAGGAAGTGAAGTTAGAGGATCATATTTCTTTTCAAATTGGGGAGAAAAAGCTAAGAAAATTTGTAGAAACACCACCAATTTGCCATGAACTAAGACAAAGATGCCCTTACTCTACTATTCCCAAGCGCTATAATTTTTGCATATACTTTTAACATAAAATTACAATTTTAGTCTTATATGTTTCACTATCCTAATTTTGTTTTCTCAAGTTGTTGTTTTGATTTTCAACCTCTTATATTTAGAAAAGGTTATAAAACGATCCCGGAGCAATTTGAACGGAACGAAATTGCAACATTGTTTTTGCAATTTCGAAGAGGACCTTTTGGTTGCAATAAAGATTTTTTTCGTAATTTTTGCAAACGTAAGTGACGAAATTCAAAACAATAATTCCATTGTGACGAAAAAATTAATGTTAGTGAAATATACAAAACTAAAATTATTAAATTCTAACAAAACTCATCACCTTCATCCACTACAAGAAAACACTTCAATTCCAACGACAAAAATTTTTGTTGGAAATTCCAATGATATTCCAACAAACTTACTTTTATGTTGGAATAAGTGTTGGATGGTTGAGGAATTCCAACGAATTTTTTTCGTTGGAATAGCTGCAGGAATTTATTTTCACAGGATTTTCCGTTGGATTTTAGTTATTCCAACGGCTGTTTTTCCCACGAATTTTTATACTTAGGAATATCCGTTGGAATAGCTATTCCAACGGAAAATATAAAGATTTCCAACGGAAAATTTCTATTGGAATGTAAGAGTTTTTTTTTTAGTGATCGTTTTAATTCATGATTATATACTCGATCCAACGAACGCATGAATATTAAAGGAAGTGCACAATATTTGGACAATCACCTAAACTCACAATATTGGGACAATCACCTATACTCGAGGTTCTCTTTATGTCGGTCGGTCACTGCTGGTTGAGATCTGTTCAAGTCGCTGGGGAAGGGCTATTGTTTATTTATTTTTTGGTTTTGTTGTTGTTTTTCTGTTTTTCTTTTCGTGTTTGTTTGCGTTGTCGTTTGGTTTGTTTGTTTCGTTTGGTTTGTTTGTTGTTGTGTGTTAGGACCTGTGGGCTCGAGTGCAACTTAATTCTCTTGTTGGGAGCGCACTCGAGTATTCTCTTGTTGGGAAGGTTCGCTTGTGTTTTGTGGTGGTTGGTATTCGCGCGTTGCGAGCTGTATTCCGTTTAGGTTGCATTTGTGATATTGTAACCTCCCAGTTACCTAGGATTTGGGCTTTGCCCTTGTACATTGCCATTTGGCTTGTTTTAATGAGAATTTTATGTCGTTGAAAAAAAAAACAAACAAACAAAAATACAAAACATATCCAAAATACATGCAGATGAAAATATTATTTCTCGTTCCTCATTAAGAATTTTTAGCATAAAACAATGTCAGATAATATTTATTACATACTTTTCACATAAGTTCTAAATATGAAGAATAATAATTATTTTGTACATAAATTTACAATAACAATCTATCACGTCCCCTGAGTTATATTTGAAAGGAATATTAGATAGTATTTTGTTAATTTTTCTTGCAATAAATAAATATATAAACAAATACTCAAACATTAAGTATTTGTATAGTATAAATTTATAATTTTATATTTAAAAAATATATGAAATTAAAATTTGAAATAAGTTAATGTGTAAAATGAAATGGTGTTGTTTATTAGTAAAGAAAGCATATATAAAAAAACTGCGTATATGCGCAGAGAATGACATTTCTACGGGTTCTCGTTCTTGGTTATAACTCAGTAAAGGTTTTGATTAGAGTCTTAAACTTAGGGTTACGGTTATTTATCTAGTACTCATGGACTTGCATATTTCTCTTTATAGTTGTTTTCCTCTCCGGTAGTTTAATTTCGTTATTTGCTATTGTTTGCAATTGCTCGTGATTATTTGTTTGCTTAGTGTTAATTCAACTCCAAAATATTCAGGATTTATTTTCTTTTTATTGTGATTTGGACAATTAAATAGTGAACTAAGCTCCGAAACGACCCGAGG